ATATCAAACACGACGCTTCGCAACGACGTCTCTTCAAGCGATAACAGTGTCAGGGATGAAAATCCGACAACATATTCTGAATAATTCTCTAATTTAACGATAAATTGTAGGGTGTATTCGTCAATGTGACGCGAATGTAGATAAATATATAATTTACCAATAATCCCACACCTGTCGCGGACCTGACCTGACGCCATCTACACAGTAATCGTCAGAAGAAAAAAACACTGACTTGTCTGAACATGTATACTCTTCGTCGACACTAGAGGGCGTATGATTTGGTGACGTTATCCTGTCTCTCGGATATGATTGGTCCTTTCTTGAGATATTGACCTGCTTGTATAGGCTTGTCCCGTGTTTGGCTATTTATAGACATTGGACGATATAAATTCGCTGACTGCTCACCGAGCTTCACTACACATCGAAGCCGAGGTGATACTTCAGCAACAGATATACAGGTATAGTCCTGAATATAAGCGAACAGGGCGAGTGCGCAACTTGCACTGTGTAGCGTTTCTTTATATACGCGAAAGCTATGACTGCAGTCGCGATTATTCTTGCATTTGGCAGATATTAGTAAAAGTATTGCGTGCGTACTTAATATTTGACGTATTATCGAAATTACCCCGTGGATCAGTTCGGCCTCCTCTAAGTGAAAGTGGGCGGTACCGATACATTGTAAACAGACCGTGTGACAGACGGTGTGATTGCATTTGAGAACGAAAGTGTGGAGCATTAGCGTTGTTTTGAGCCATTATTCAATAACTGTATATATTTATTTGCGAACAACGAGCGGATTTTATAACAATTTGTTCAGTTGGCGTGTCGATGATCCAAGTCTGTATCGTAGTTCTCTGGAACAGTGTTTGAGTTTAAAGGGCTTATTTATATGCAAACTACCTACGCAACCATTGCTATTTAATATACTGTTAAGGTTTTCCCCAGGTCATTTTTCATTGCGATTGTTAGTGGTTGCTATGACAGTGGGACGCCGTATACACGCGATCTTTCATTTTACAGAATTTCAGTCGGGCACGAGTCGACTGTTGCGATATTAAATGTTCATTTCTACAAAGTAGAGATCAAATTTGGGGTTGACGTGAAATGGATTTAATTATTTGTTCAATAAATGTTCAATTTGTTTTAGTTATTGATTTATGGAAATGTATATATACGGCCACACTCAGTTGGCGTGTGACGTTTTCAGTGTTTCTGGTCTTGGTTTAATCTACATGAAGATTTACCTCCATGGTTTTATAGACAATTTAGGTCATTAACCTCTACCAAGACCTTGTAGATAGGATGTGACCTTTTTAATGTAAACTGACCACACTTTTTAACCTTATCATACTGCAAGATCTGGTAAAGATGTTAATTGCGTGCAATAAAATTTTGTGTATACAACCCATTTTCCCCATAATGTGAATATGTTACTGCTTGTAGTATGGGACCCATATTGCAGTCAAGACAAATCTAAGACTTAGAGCACTTTACATCCTTTGGGGTAGTTGAGGGGGTGGAAGTGCCAGTTAATTTGTTTTTATCTAAACACAGAATGTACCCTGGTGTATATAAAAAAAAAAAATTGGTACATCAATTTGAAACATTTTTTTCAAATTAATTTTCACACCCCCAGTTATATAAGTACTGGGTACAGTCACAACCTGATATCTGTCCCTATGTGTAGCTTTAGTGAGCTTATTGTTAGTTTTCATATTGTACTACAGACTGGAGGAATATATACATGGGTACATCATTATTAAGATAACATACCTAGCTGTTATAATCCTATCAAGCTGTGATTTGTGCATTTGTCAGCCTGACTTAACCAATCAAGTAGCTTCTGTAGGTCATCTGACCATTCACAGCCAATAGCATACGTTTTAGATGGTACCAGATCTTAAATCATGCAGTCAGATTCTTTAGTTAGCTCAGCTCACAGTACTGGTGAGCTGTACATTTTTACACCACATTCTTGAATGCATGCTACCACGGTTACTAAAAAAGTAGCCGCGATGCTACATACTGGTAAATTAATTTTGATTATATTTTTTGTTGATTTGTTTTTATGTTTTCATGTTAACAGGAATTGAGTGCTCTGACAATGCCACCTAAACGCAAAGCTCCTGCTGCAAAGGCTGGTGGGAAAAAGACAAAGAAAGGTGAAGAGGCACCATCAGATTTGAAGACAGCGATAGAGGCATTGAAGAAGACTGATACAGGAAAGAAAAAGAAGCAAGCTAAAGTTGATCAAGCCTGTCCATTGAAAAACACTGCAAAGGTGAAATGTGGGATAGTGACTTAATTTGAATGAGGAGGAAACTATCAGATTAGGGCCAAAGGGATGAAAATTAAGATCATGAATCAAATTTAGTCAGGCTTTTAGGGGTGGAGCAGAATGCCTATTATTTTTACAATTTTTCAAAAATTTTTTGCAGTAAATTTTGGCCCAGTTCCAGTTACTTGTCACTGCACTACTTTGACTCGGCCTCGAGTTCCCAAAGAGCCTAGGCGAACTGCTTGTGGCAGAAGACTTGGGGGGCATAGTTCTGTTTTTATCAATCATTCCAAGATTGAATAAAAATAATAATATGGAATTGGTCAACAACTGGTAATCAGTGTGTTGTTTAATTTGCACTTTAATATTAAAATAATTTAATTAAATATTTGGTGTAATACTATTATTACTATACTAATGAGCTATCAATACAAGATTTGTGTATTTGCGATAAACACAATGCGGCTCTGAAAAGATAACGCACCAAATGTTAGTACAGCCTTTGTCAACATGGTTGTTTGGTTTAGTGATCTGTGACATAAAACTACTTAACAAGGAATAAAATTACTGTAATTGGCCAGTGGAACATGACAGATACAAATTTCTATTAATTACCAGACCAAAATGTGGGCTGTTAAACTCACCGCTTCAGAGTTTCTCCAGTCTGTTGAGGGCAGTATAACAAACAGGAACAGAAACTATATACACAAGAGACATAGAATGGAAATCAAGGCAAATTTCAAGTCAACATTTCTTTGCAAATGGCTTAGGGGTTAATGATTAGAAATCTTTGGTGTGGAAAATGATATAACTGTAGTGCAAATTTCTTCTCTTCATTTCATGATGATGCTGTATTTTTATTTGTTTTTCTCACCAAATGTGTAGTTTTTTTTCTACCATGTTCCCTATGATTTTTTTAAATTTTCATCTGCAGATTTTGTTTTGTAGGCATATAAAACCCCAAAACTCAACTTCATGGCATCTTACTCATTCACATTCTGGCTTTGTTGACAGGTATACGAAGACTATGACTGTATGCTAAACCAGACAAATATTGGTTTTAATAATAATAAATATTATGTAATTCAACTTTTGGAGCAATATTCAAATTATTATTTATGGACACGATGGGGAAGAGTGGTGAGTATTTGTTTATTTATTCATTATTTTTGTTTATTTACAAAACTCACATAGGTTGTAAAGAAGAAACAGGATGATGATTAGGTGCTAGGTGAAGTGCCAGTAGCCAATGAGAGGTATTCTTGTATGAAGTCACTTCTTTCAATTGATTGACGAGGCAAACTAAATTTTTATTGGGTAGCCAATGGAGGGCAATCTTGTATGAAGTCACTTCTCCCAACTGATTGGCTAGGCAAAATAACTTTTTTATTTGGTAGCCAATGAGAGACAATCTTATATTTCTTGCGCCTCACTCGCAGCAACGAAATACAAGAAACACTGCACCTTCGGTATGTTAGACCAGCACATGTTGTGAAAACTGCATACTTCAATCTACTATTTTTGGTCGACTGGAAGATCTCATGTTATGCATGAAATTGAATGTAAAAACAGATCAAAGGTTATAGCATTGTAGTTGCATCATAATATTATGAGAAATTTGTATTTTAGGGCATTTCCGAGCTTAATAATGTGTATTAACAATTGATGGTTAATGTTGATGAAATAAGGGTATTCTCAATGCCATTTTCGGCATTTTGACAATAATTCAGTTCGGTCTGCGCAATACAAAAGGTCTCACAATGAACAGAAAATCACCTATTGTGCCCAACTGATTCATAACGTTGCGAGCCCGCCACCTATGGCAAACTCGCTCAATGCTTGAGATTGACTTCACACGAGACTCGTATTTAAATCCTCGTTCTCTGTACTTACAGGTACATTTCACTTGTCAAAAGAAATTACCAAATCAATCATACATGTATAGTGATGACAAAGTTTTAACATTCATAGGGTGAGCCAGGAGCCAACGCTTTGGCTGGACCAAAAACAAGCGCAGAAGCTATCAAGATGTACGAGAAAAAATTTAAAGATAAAACAAAGAACGACTGGAACAAGAGGTCATCGTTCTCACCGGTAGCAGGAAAGTATACACTTATAGAAATGGATGACGAAGATGAGACGGAGGAGGCTAAAGAAGAGACGGTCAAGAAGGTAAATGTTGCATTCCTGTTGAGCCTTTCATTGCAAAATTCATCAATATGTTTTTGTTACGAGTCACGGTAGCATGAATCATTGCGAGATAATACTGTAATAAAAAATTTGACAGCATTTTGGGGGACAAAATTTGGCAATAGTGACTGTGACTTGGTGTCGTAAAGATCATATAGAAAAATCTGCTGCTACAAATTCTGCATATGCACAATCATACGTTTCAGATTTCTTTTTTTTTTGCTTTCATAGATGGCACAACTTGATGAAATTGATGGTGTGAAAAAGAAAATAGCTGCATGTAGGCTGGATAAACCAACGCAAGACTTAGTGAAGCTGATCTTTGATAATGACATGTTTAAAGAACAGATGGCAAATTTCGAATTAGGTTTGTAAATGCAAGGTTATTGTCTAAATTGGTGGTGGTGTTAAGTTATGTTAAGATTTTCACAGAAATATACATCAATGAACTTCTATAGTATAATGGACCAGATCAAGTACGCGTTTTGTATTCTTTGCAGTTCACTCCAATGATATTACAGTTGGCTATAATGAGAATGATCCCCCCCCCCCATATGTTAATCATTTATTTATATGTATTCATTCAAATGTGTATTAGAAGCTATTAAAATAATACAATGCAACAGAGGGGATGCGGCTTCTATTAGGGCATCTACACTTATGAGAAATGATGAATTTTTGATTCTCAATTATTCAAAAAGAATTAGAGATGCGGCTTCTAATACAGATTTTACGGTATTAGTCCGTAGTAGCCCGGCATTCTTCCAAAAAATGTTGAGCACAGTAAATCCAGCCAAAGCAATAAATAGATCCTTGGAGTACAATTTAAACAAACTGCTGTGATTTCCTTCACACAGATGTAAAGAAAATGCCACTTGGCAAGCTCAGCAAGTCGCAAATAGCCAAAGGTTTTGAAGCACTGGAAGACATAGAGAAGGCATTGGATGAAAAGAGAACTAAGGACCTGGCATCATTAACATCACGATTTTACACCTTGATACCACACTCGTTCGGGAGAAAAGTCCCACCAGTTATAAACAACGCAGAAATGGTCCGGAAGAAGATGGATATGTTATTAGTATTGGGTGATATCGAGGTGGCGCTGAGTTTGCAAAAGGACAAGAGCACGGTAAGCATTACTGTATGGGACACCATTTAACAGTCTGAGTACACACATAAAATTACCTTGAAATTTTTACTCTTGTATTAAAAAACAATATCTTCCCATGCATAGTGAGTGAGAGTCTCGCAAATTAATATATATTGTACTTATTCTATGTTACTTAGCACCTGGGGTACTAAGCTCCAAAAATTGTGTGACAGGAACTTACTCAAGCTCCCCTCTCAATATCAACAACTACAAGAATGTAGGTGAATAATTATTCTTTTTGATTTGACTCTGTAGAAGAAAGAGTTAACAACTGAAGAAGTGGACCATCCATTAGACACTAATTATGAATTACTGAAATGCCAGTTGAACCATGTGTCCCCAGCCAATAAAGAATTCAAGGTAAGATTCAGTATACTGTGACCACAAATTAAACGTTGTGCGACAAAAAGGCCTACAATGCACATATATTGGTGTTTCATCTGGTTTAAACTAACATTTTTTTTATTTCAGATTCTCCAGAAATACATGGATTCAACACAGGGATGGTTTGGCGCTGCCAAGATTTTAGATCTGTGGAAAGTAGACAGAGATGCCGAGGCAAGTACATTGGCCATTTCATATTATTTCTAACTTGTATACCTTGAATGCATCAACCTATCATATATGCAATTTCAAAATGTAAAAATCTGCTAGATCCTAATCACATCATTGAAGTTGCATGCCCTTATCCTTATCTACCTTTGGCAACATATTTATTGGTGGTGACTATGATGTTTAATTCTATTATAGGATGTGCGTTTTTCCGAACATGACAGTACTGGAAATCGACGTCTACTGTGGCATGGTACTAACATTGCAGTAGTAGCTGCAATTCTTAAAGGTGGACTTCGTATTATGCCTCATTCTGGAGGTCGGGTTGGCCGGGGGATATATTTTGCATCTGAATGCAGTAAATCTGCTGGATATGGTAGGTAACTCAACAGGCATTAGGCTTGACATTTTTAGTGGGTGTTGTTTTTTAATCGTTCAGTATGGTTAATATATGTACAACTGAAACAAACTATTTCTTAGTATAAAGTATAAAATGTTAATCTCTTCATGACCAGCATGAAACATAATTAACTATGCAAGAGAGTTATGTATGCTGGAGCTAAGTTACAAAATAACCATTTACCATAAATGGTCATATATTTAAATGCTTTTTATCTTTTTCTTCCTTAGTGAGAAGAACCCACAAGAACATTGGGATAATGTTTCTAAATGAAGTAGTATTAGGCAAGGAACATCATATTAAAAGAGACAATTCATCATTAAAATCTGCACCAAGTGGTTATGATTGTGTCATTGCTAAAGGACATACTGAGCCAGGTAAGACAATAAGTGCAATACCAAATGGTCAGTAAAAATATTCACACACACACACAAAAAAGCAGGATACGAATGATTCAGATTATGCATACTGTCCACAATTATGGTATTGATACAAGTCAACCTAGTGTTATTTTGTGTTATTTTGACATGCAAAGCAACTACACCAAACTTGCTATTTTAGAAACCCATACATTTCTGTATATCAGAGTTGTGTTCAAAAAAAAAATCTGTTGTATTAGACTGTATACAATAAATACAATTTCCAGTTTGTGTGTGCTTCTATTAGAAATATACTTCTAATAGAGTTTTTGCTCTAATAGAAATACATGTAAGCAAACAGTTGTATTCATTGTATACTGGATTATTAAAATACCTCTGATATTTACCTAAGTGCATACACTACTACTAGAGCAAATACATCATTTTTCTTGTGCATTTGTGACATGTGAAAATACATTCTCCCTCATGTGATTTCTCAGTGTGTGTAAAAAAATTAAGTATTCACATATAAATTAATTTTAGTAGCAGGACAGCATCTAAAGAAACCTGATTCAATGTTTCCCATCTGTTCAAGTTCACCTAACATTATACAACAAGTCTAAAAGCTTAACACTGCAAATGAAGATTCTTACCTTTCTAACATGACTGGGTACATGCATGTTAAAAGGCAGCAGTCGTTGTGCCGCGCCCTGTTCGATATGGGACTCATATCGACGTATACAATGTTTATTCACATTAAATTCGAGCACGCGCTGCGTGACGACCACCACACTTTAATAGAATTCATGTTTGTATTGAGCAAAGTGAAATAGAACAGAAATAGTTTTCTGTGAGTGATGGCTTGATATATATGTATAGAATAAAGAGTGGTAGCATCCACTTTGGCATCTAGCAGCATGAGAACAACTTTTGGTGGCATATTAGCATAAAAAAAAGCTGGATGCTACAATGACGTGCCTTTCCCAAATGTATGACTCATACAAGTTCTTTGTATTAGTGTAGAATTACAATTATAGCACGGTTAACATCTTAACAACTGTTTGTTCTTTATCTCCAGATCCTAAATTTGACACCACTATAAAGCTTGATGGCAAGGAGGTAACTGTACCACAGGGTAAACCCATTCCACAACCCAAATGGAAAGACAGTTACTTCTCACAGAGCGAGTATTTGATCTACAAAGAAAGTCAAAATAGAATCCGATACATGCTGAAAATACAGTTTTAAGAAAGACCCTAGGGTTCTTAGAGTTGACAACCACGTATTTTCTACTACAAGTAAAGTACAAGAAAGTTATTGTTCAAGAATGTGTGCCAGTAGTTAATTTTTTTTCATGATCAATCTTAATCTCAAAGCATCAAAAATTAACTTAGGGATAGCAAACATCACTGTTTTTGCATGCTAGCTTTGAATATTTTTAATGCTCCCAAACTGTGTATCATTTCCCTTTTTCAACTTAACTGTGCAATAGTTAATACTATAACTAGTCTACTTTTTTATATAACTTTTATTCATATCTATTTTTATCACTTTATTGAAATAAGAATGTCTACATAGAAAACACGATATTTAAATATATATGTATGTATGTACAAAAAAAAAAGTTTTTAAAATATTTCTTGGTTGGAAAGATGCACATGATAGATAGAATGATTTTATGAAAGAATTGGAAACTGTTGACTCTGTTATAATATTTGTATGACCGAATAAAATTGAGTTTTAGTATTTGTCTGGATTTATTATTAGTTGTTGGCAACATTATGAGAAACACAGAAATGGGAAGGATAATTTCGCAGATTAAAATAATATGTTGCTCCCTATATATAAATTTTCATGCATCATTTCTTCTAGCAGCCTCAATGAAATGAGCACAGGCCAGCCTTTCTGTATTAGAAGCATGTAAGGCCATATAAATTTGCCTTTAAAATTCAGCTTACATATATTGGTGATGCACTTCTAATCCTCGGGGGCGGAGCTACGTCACAGACGTTCCACGTTGCTAAGACGCGCACCACTGTACATGCATTTCTATGGGCTCTGTGCGCGCTGCTGTGGAACGCCGGTCGAGTCGGTGAAAATTCGAGAAAAACAACACAAACTCAATTTTGAAGTAATCCTGAACAATCAAATTTATATATGTTACACACGTAGGGCTAATCTTGTTGCACTGTTCAGAGGAGTCTCAACAATCACCCCAAAGTACCGTTTTCTGCGAGTTTTGGGCCTTTGTTTTCACCGCCGCAGGTTGCCAGGCGGTGAAAATGCCCGGATGTCCGCCCCCGAGGATAGACAGGAATATGTGAATAGCACCCTCTATGGTCAAATACATATCATCTTTCGTTTGTTTCTTCTGATTTGGTTTTGTACAAAAGTTGAGTTCTTGGCACCAGCATTCTACCCACAGACTTACTCTGGACAAAAATATGATAATTGTCAGTGATCCGGGGGTCAAATTTGGATGGATGAAGATTCCAATCAGCTGCAAATACCGAAAAAAAGCACTAAAATTATTACCAAAGTCAAAAAGGACTGATATAGATATATACAGCAATAGTGGCTGTGACTGCAGGGTTGTCCTAGCAAATACTTTGCAATAAATACTGAGTCAATGAATATTAATTAAAGTAATTTTCACTTGGGTCCTAGCGACTCTTTTCAATATTTTATGTACATGCAATACTGGTTTTATCATATATGACCTTTAAAGGTCACACATCCTGGCACTTTTGATGTGTATTATCTTATAACAACAATACGGTAATTTTATTTGTCATCACACACTTTGGACAAGCAGTTGTCACATGGGCCGAGACAAATCCTGTTGTTATATCCTATCTGGTGTTTCGAACACCCCTACAAGATGAGAGATCATCACATGGTATGAGTTAATCCTTTCAAGTAAGTAATGTCTTCCACTTTGACCTCACACATCATTCAGTCAGATGTGTTCATGTCGTAAAGGTCTCATGCCACTAATTAACCAATGGCTGCTCGTAGCCCTCAATTTAAATGCCTAGCAAGAACCAATGAAATTTTTTAAATATTATTTTTCTCAGGTGCTCCCTGTTTGAGGGCGTAATCACCTGGGTCAGAGGTGAGACCAACATGTGGTCTTTTGTTTACTACTTAGCGGCTGTGTACCTGTGGGTTTATTCTGTGTGTTAATGGATGTTCTAATCTTGGTGTTTTTCCAGTGATTTCTCTTGGTGCAATCCAAATACAGTAGGTGTGTCTTGTTTACCTGAGATTTGCAAGAGTTTGAGCTGGCCAACATGTTAGTTTTTTTCCTATGGTTGATTACTGGCATGTTGATTTCCCATTTTTGAGCCATATTTTCAACTTTCTTTGTCATTTTCATATAGCAATCTCGTCATATGTTAACATTGTCGTCTATGGAAATTCAATTAGTGGTATGAGCCCTAAACAAACACATCAGTTGACAACATTTCTGGACTAAATTTTGCAGTGAGACCTTCTATGAAAGCAGTACATGTACTTTATTACAAAGTCTTCATTGACATAGTCCCTGTCCAGTTTTATTGACTTTGTCAATTACAAAAAATTAATTTCTAAAAATATTTTCCAACTTACCAGTGCCTTTCACAAGACCAATGAGTTCTCTCACAGCGGACCCATAGTCTGAAACAAATCACATCAGTACAAATAGAACTTACAGAAACTTTGTCCAAGTAAATATATATTACATTCTATTATTATACATATGTCACTGTAACGCCATAAGTTACAGCGTGCCGTAATTTTGCGGTATTTTACGGGGTATTTTCATACTACCATATTAGGAAATGCGAATTCCAAATATGGAATAATTACGCGCGTAAGCGTCCTCTAATAATAAAAACAAACATGGCTGCTACCAGGATTTGACCGGACTTCATACAAAGAAGTTTGCTGATTCTGTTCTAAACTTTTTGGATTTCAGCATTCCCATGATGTATATTTGGAAGGAAAAGATGTATAATAATAAGGTTATTACGAAGATACCTCAAAGTATGCACTCGGAC